GCCCCGGGGGTGCACGGGACCCCTGCCGTGCGTGATGACACGCAGGGGCACTGGGAGGACAGGCTAATGCCGAGGAAGGCAGAGTGGCCACGGCGGGGATAATCCTGCTAAGAGGCTCTGAGGTCAGGCTGGATGTGTGGCACAGTTCTCATCACCTTTGAGGCTCTCACTAGACACGGGCAACATCGTCCCAGAGAACAGGATGGAGGTGGCAGGAGCAGCCGAGCACTGGGGCAGGGTGAGAATGCGCATGCCCCCCAAAAAGTGTGTCTGGGGCCACCTGAGGAGCTGAGCACACACAGGGTGGAACACATGCTCCCTCCAAGAAAGCTCTCCTCCCTCAGGAGCCCTGTGGAACAGCCCTTTGCCAAGCCCCGTTCCTGGTCCAGCCCCACTGCAGCCCTGGTGGTCCTGCTGCCATGTCTGCTCCGGGCTGCAAGCGTCCACAAGGCCACTGTCTCAGGCCCGGAGCTCCTGTGTGGGCTGTCCAAGCACCGGGGCTCGGAGCTGCAGACTCACTTTCCCAGCAGTCAGGGAACAAGGACTGGGGAAAATGAGGCAGGGGCAGAGCAGGGTCCCCAGGACTAAGCAGGTCCTGGGGAGGTCGTCCTGCCTCCCCACTGTGCCCTGCTGGCCTTAACACATGCTGTCACGTTCTGGCTAGGGACAGGTGGGCAAAGGCCACTTTCCCTGAAATAGCTGCTTGCACCCAGGGCCAGCTTGGCTCTTCCCCTACATTCAGTCACTGTGGGACAGGGAGGAACTGACCTTCATTGAAAAACAAACAACAAGGAAAAGCAACACTGCCAGGTGAGAAATTAATTTCTTTCTAACCCCTCCCCTCCCCAATTTCTGGAGCTCCCAGGCCCAGTTTCCCACTCTTGCTCAGACACCCATGTTCTGTCCTGCCTCCCTCGGGACGTGTACCACCATTGCCCTTCTTTCATTTCACGTGTGACAGGACCTGTCTACCTGCAGACCCAGGGAGCTGGACGAGGCTGGGCTGCTTCAGGGAAAGGGGGCTGGCCGTGCAGACTGTTTGGGGCGTAGGACCCATGCGGGAAAGGGAGCAGAATGCTCTGCAATCTGCCTCCTGAGCTGCTGCAGCCCCAGCTCTCTGCTTGCCTTCTGAACAGTGGCGCAAACACGACATGGGGCTTGATTTTGCCCCCACTGGGATGTAAAAAAAAGCTGAGGGGCACCAGGCTGTACGCAAATGACAGTCACTGTCAGGCCCTTGAGATGGTCTCAGGCCCTGCAGTGTGCGTTATCCATGCCTCCTCCAGCACTGGTAGCCCTGGAACAGTCAATGCAGTGGATAAACACCTGGGTGGTGAGTACAAGGCTGAACTGCAGGCACTGGTGCCACACCGGGATATGGCCGGGAGAATTGCTCGGACAGCAGTCAGACTACGTGCCATGGGGCAAGCAGACAGGGGAGATTCTGGGGTGGGAGAAGGCTTTCTGAGCCACAGATATTGTGGTGGAACATGGAGACACTCATCAGGGCAGTCCCAGGAGGATTGCTGGACACCTCAGTGGCTTGCAGGATAGGGAGGCGGGAGGACTTCCAAGAGGGGGCTCATCTCCTTAAGCAGCTGAATGGCATCACCTGCAAGGATGGGAGGG